GGGACTTGGCAGGACTCAGGGGAACCTACTGCTGATACGTAAATTTCCCATGCAAGTGACTTGTGAGAACTGGCTGTTTCTCTTGTCAATAAGACTGAAATCCCACTTGCAAATTGCAAAGCTCAACATCATGTTGCTTGCTGGGTTATTCTTGCTCTCTTCCAAGCCATCTTTAAATGTGCTAAGTGTGGAGAGATTTGGGTTCTTATACTGGAGCACAATTTACAGAGCCTTGAACATCCTGCTAGTCTGCACCTGCGAATTTAAATCTGCCTTGAGGCTGCCCTGTGGCTATTTGTGGTGTTTTTGTCCTATTCTCTTGCTTGGCACACAAGAAATCGAAACAGAGAAATTAACAACCCAGGAATGTTGACGTTTTTAGGGAGGCACAAAAGTACTCTGTAGGAACACTTTTTAATTTCAGGTTCCACAAGATTCCCCCTACAATTTGGTTATAAAAAATTAAAGCAATAAAGCAGCAGGCAAAACAGGAAAAACAGCACTCTAAGAAATGGCAATAAAAGCAATCCAAAACAAACTATAGAATTAAAAACAAAACAAAAAAACTCCCTGCCATCGAGTTGATTCTGACTCATAGCAAACCCCTTTGGGTTTCTGAGGCAGTAAATCTTTATGGAAGTAGATTGCCCAGTCTTCCTTCCACGGAGTGGCTGGTGGGTTTGAACCGCCAACTTTCTGGTTAGCAGTCAAATGCCTTAGGCACTATGCCACCAGAGCTCCTTATAGAATAAGTGAATAAAATTATTAAAGGAGATGAAAGAAGGAGTAGAAACCTTTGAGGAAGGCTCAAAGCAAGAGATGAATCTGATTATTCTTAAAATGTCTAGCAGACAGGGACGCTGCAGGGGGCCTGTGGCCTGTACTGACAAAAGAAACACAGCCAGGTTGGTTTTTGAGAAAAGCCTTGTCCTTTTTGACAAGGGACTATTCTCCTCTTGAAAAGCAGCTTTTGGCTCCAGAGTCCTGCTAAGGATTGGATGCCTGATGACACAGGAGGAACTGGGCTTCGTGTGATTCTTTAGCAATACCCCCGAGCATATCATGAAGGCACAAGAAGCTGAGTAAGCAGCTGTCTCACTTCCCAACACGCCTGTTCCACTGGTCTCTTCCTAAACCCACATATGTTGGGGAATTCCCTATGACCATTTGAGAAGAATAAAAATAAACCCGGTTTACAGATGATTTTCTATATTATATTGGCATGAGTCAGAAGGGACTATCTGTATTACAAGCCCACTCAAGAGTGGCCCTGTAGGCCTGTGAGTAGGGAAACCCACTTAGGAAGCAAAACTCCTAGATGGATCTCTCCATTTGTTTTACCTGGAAAGAGGGATGTCCAGTGGTAAAGAATTATTAGGGCTGGCTAATAATTGGTCCAGATGCTCCAGAATTGGAGATAGCAAGATGAAAGCAGTTTGGTGATTTTTTTCTGGAAGACATACACATGGATGGGCCTCTTAGAAATACATGGATTCCTCCTGAGGAGGAATCTACAAGAATGTTCTTTGTGAAATAGTACCAAACGCGGGTCCCTGCCCAGTGTGCAGTCAGGCCAAAACGGTTTATACACAGAGTGATCAAGAGGAAAGAAAATTATTGCAAAGTGGCAATGCAAGGAGGCAGGGGTACCCATACCCAGATCTGACTCCCCAAAACTCCATCAAATTACAGTTTTGTAGGTTTCAGAAGTGAGGGTTATGCATATTCATAAAAATGTTCAGGAATTTGGGCATGAGATGGTTGACGATTGGCTTAAATTTCCTTCGCTTCGGTTTAAAGGGACAGTAGCGTTTTGAGCCAGAGCACTTGTGTACTGGATGAGTTACACCGGCTTCCTGTCATCAGCTGATCGGGCCTTAGGCAGAGGGGAGAGTGTTAGTTCCCAGTAACTTCGTTCTTCTCTGTCCCACTGCACATGTCTGCAGGCCAGAGTTAATTTTCAAGTTGTTTTCTAAGACACATTAACACCTTCATCACCTACCTGTGCCTAAGGAAATAGCAGGAAAGAATGTTTTTTGTTCCATTCAGTTCTTAAGAAACTGAGCTTATTGTATTTACTCATCTGTCTCCAACCGGGGTCAGGGTGGGGAAACAGGTGAGGGTAATTAAGTTTACTTATCTATTCCCACCCCTGGCTCTATCTGTTCTAATTATTTGTTTTAACCAGGGTGGGGGAAATAGTTTTGACTTTACTGGGTTTGAATTCCCCCTTAGAATAGATACTGTTCCACATTCTTGGGGAACACTTTACTCGGTTTCACTTACACTACGGCACATTTAGCAAATCTCTGAAAAATCCTCTTTAGGTCTCCACTGGTTCCTCTCCACTTGGTTGCTGTTGGTTGTACTCTCAAGACTCCTTCTCTGTACTCCCTTCCTCCTTGTTCACTTTCTTACTTTCCAAAGTTTAAAATTATAACCTATTGCAAACATTCAGACAGTACAAAACTAATTTACCCAACTGCTAATGTACCCATCACTTAGACACTTTGAAATTTGCTCCTGATCTCACTTTTTATTTAGCAAGAGATAAGATACCAAACCAACAAAATTGATTTGTTCTGGGAAGCTAAAAAGAGAAAAATAAAGCACTTTTGTAATCGTTATTATCATGGAAATGCCAGTGAATCCAGATCTGCCCTCATAACTCCTGAGGTGTGGCTCTCTGTCCGAAGCCCCTTTTTAGGGCGCCCTTGACCTCTTTGTTACGAAGGCTGTAGATAAAAGGGTTTAAGGTCGGTGTCACCACGGCATAGAGCACGCTGGCTAGGCGGTCATAGCGGGCTGAGTAGGCAGACGACGGTCGGAAATAGACCGAGAGAACAGAGCCGAAGAAGAGCGACACCACCACGAAGTGGGCCCCGCAGGTGGAGAAGGCGCGGCGCCGTCCTCCAGCCGATCGCACGCCGAGCACTGCGGCAAGGATGCGGGCATAGGAGAGGGACACGAGGAGCAGCGGGGTTAGCACCACGGCCAGGCCTTCGGAGAAGATGGCAGTCTCCGCCGCGAATGTATCCGAGGTTGCCAAGCTCAGCATCACTGTCATGTCACAGAAGAAATGGCGCACGGGGGCGCAGGCGGGGTAAGAGAGCTCGGAGATGAGCAGCGTGTGGAGCAGTGAGTGGAAGTGGGCTACCCCCCAGGACGCCCCCACCAGGGACGCACAGCGGCCCGACGTCATGACGGCGCCGTAGTGCAGCGGGCGGCACACCGCCACCGCGCGGTCGTATGACATAGCTGCTAGCAGGTAGCTCTCGGTGATGCCCAAAGCCACGAAGAAGTACATCTGGGCAAAGCATCCCTGGAAGGAGACGACCTGCACTGGGTGGAGCAGGCCGATCAGCAGTCTGGGGACCGTGACGGTGGTAAAGCAGACATCCACGAGGCTCAGGTGACCCAAGAAGTAATACATGGGAGAGCGGAGAGCCACATCGGATCTTACCACCACCACCATGCTCAGGTTGCCCAGGGCGTTGAGCAGGTAGATGCCAAGGAAGAACAGGAACAACAGCGGGTGGGAGTCTGACCCGTCCATGAGGCCAAGGAGGAGGAACCCTGGGGCAGATGTGAGGTTGACCAGAGCCATGGAATGCCCCGACTGGTGGGAGTGCTGAGGGGAGCGACGAGGCAGGAGGCCTAAATGCTGGGAGCTTTGGATAAACTTCCTGAGATATTATGGCTCCATGTGAAAAATGGTTAAAAAAAAATTTCTTGTTAAAATAATTTGAAAACTACAGTTCCTCATACTATAATTGTAATTTTGTAGATGAAGAAACGGAATCTCAGAAGACCACTGTCTAGGTTAGTAGACAAGGGCTCAAGCTTTGGAGTAGATCAGACCTGATTTTGAGTCCTGGCTCTGCAGTCCAGATGGTGTGAGCTTTCTGAACCTCAGTTTCTTCTTTACATGAGGAAAATATGAGTAGCTACTCTTGTAGTTGGTTGTGAGGATAAAGTGGATAAGAAATTTTAAACACTTAACATGAGCTCTGGTGGCCTAGTGCCTGAGGCATTAGACTGCTAACCAGAAGGCTGGCAGTTCAAACCCACCAGCCACTCTTCGGAAGGAAAGTTGGGCAATTTACTTCTGTAGTGATACCTCCTGGGAAACTAAGGAGGGGTCACTATGAGTCAGATCCGACTGAACGACAGTGAGTTTGGTTTTGGGTTTAGTCAAACAATTAGGGGCAGAGCTGCGACTGAGACCCAGACCTTCTGAATACCAGTCTAATTTTCTTCACAAAACACCTTACTGAATTTACTACTAGATTATTCAGCACATGCTATACAGATAGTAAATATTTTAGGCTCATGGGCCAGAAAGTCTCTGTTGTAATGACTCAACTCTGCCATCATAGCATGAAAGCAGCCATAGACAATATATAAATGAATGACCATGGCTGTGTTCCAATAAAACTTTATTTGTAAAAACAAGGCCAAAATCCACTTGGCATCTAGATTTGGCCTGAAGGCTGTACTTTGCTGACCTCTGTAGTAAATACAGAGTGAGTAATAGAGTGATGAACAATCTCAGCTCCTGCCCTCAAACATCTGGACCTGCAGCTGCTTGCAGAGTATTATGTCCTTTACTCATCTTATGAGCCAAGGGAGTGCCACCCCCTTTCTGGAGGAGTTTTGGCAGAATTCAAAGAAGGTGTGGAATTTGAACTGGGTCTTGGAGAATGAATAGAGGTTCAGCAAAAAGACATGGCATGGTGGGAAAAGGGGAGGACATTTCACACAGGTGGAAGAGATTGCTGGGGTTGTAGCAAAGAAGACGTGGAGTGAAGAGGGTGAGACATTTGCATATAACCTGGACACAAGTTTCGTCCTTGCTCTGACCACAGAGGTCACCAGAGGCATGGGGATGAGAAAGACATTTCACACAGGAGGGGAATGTGGAAGCACAGGAAGGTGCTTGGCGGGTGGAGTCGGGCTAAAATATGATCTGTTCCTCCCTAATGCTGTAAGACAGAATGGAGGCGGGGTAGGACACAAGGCAAGAAGGTAGTCGAGAAATATTGAGGCCTCTCACCTGAAGGCCTGCATGCCAGACCTCAACACTGTCTGCAGTTGTGAGCTGTTCTTCGCCTTGGCCAGAGGTCACCAGTCCTGAGGGCAGATCCACTGTCATCCATCTCAGCCCGGAGACCTAAGCATGTTTCCTGCAGGCTAGGGCAGCAGCTCTAGAGAGTGAGAAACTAGAGCTGTAAGGGCCCTGAGAATTCCTGAACCATTTAATTTTACTGCCGTGCCAATCTCCTTACTGCCCATTGAATATAGTGCAAACATTCAAAGCCTTCCGACATGGCTCCTAGCGTTCTAGTCCAGTGTTAGTCCCCACTGCTTCCATGTGTTCCCCCACCACCACCCCAGCCATGCTGGCCTTGTCACTGTCTCTTTCTTATGCCTTTATCACATGCCTTCCCAGCACATTGCTTCCTGCCTGAAATGTTCTCCCTGCCTCTTCTCAATACCTAGCTCCAGCTCCCCTCCTCCAAGAAGCTCCATCTCCTTTCCTGACTTCTCCAGCCCAAATGTTACCCTCATTTTGAACTTAGCCCTTGTTTGCCTGGTGTTAAAGTGACCTTTTCTTCTATGATGCTCATCTTCCCCACTAGATGATGAACCCTGTAAGGGCAAATATTTAGTTGTCTGTTCCCACCTAACATTAGGCCTGGAATAGACCTTAGTCCTAACACTCCTGGCAAAGTCAGGCAAGGCTCCACAGAGGAGGTGGCATTTAAGTAGGGCCAGCTTAAAGGACAAAGCATTCACTGGGCCGACAGACGGAATAGCATGAACAAAGGAAGTTACAAACAAAACTTCAGGGAAGTTTACTCTTTGAGCTTCATTTTCTTTTCTGTGAAAGTGGGAAAATAATAGATTCTCATAGTTTACTGTGAGGATTAATGAGGTAATAAATAAAAAAGCACTTAGCAAATAGTAGGCACTAGTAAAGGTCAATTTCCTCCCCCACCCAGGCCTCTGAATAGGCCTCTGAATACTGTCGTGATGGGAAGATATGGTGACTGATTTATTTATGTTCTCCCCGAGGCACTAGACATAGAACTGGGTTCCATGGATGCTGAGCTGCTGTTGTTGACTCAGAGCCCTTTCATGAAGCCCGGGTAAGGAAGGTGTCTGCTTTGAAACAGATAGGAAGGAGTTTCTTAAGGTTACAAAATGAGACAGAGATACTTAAGATCTAGAACCAGAAAACCTATCTACCAGGCAGCTCAGGGGAGCTCTGATAGCATAGTGCCTAAGGCACTTGACTGCTAACCGGAAGGCTGGCAGTTCAAACCCACCAGCCACTCCTCTTGTCTTGTCTTGATCATGCCACAAACAGCTGCTTCTTCAACAACAGTTTTTAACCCAAGATGAGCCCTCATCTCCATTTTCTATTCCAAGGACACAATCCCTCTCCTCCCTTCCTCTACTTTACTTGATGCCACACATCTCCCTTCTATAATTTATTGAGCAATCTTAACTGTTGTAACTGCTCTATGAGCACCAGGCAGGAGGGGCATCTAGAAATGGTTAAGGCAAAGAGCTCACCTCCCTATCTTGCTATCAGGCAACTGGCAATGACTCTTAGATGTCTTCTCACCCAACACTAAAGTCGTAAATATGGGAAGCAAGGCCCGGAGAACATTGTCCCTAAAGTCATTCAGCAATTTGGGGACAACGCAATGCAACACAATGCAACGCACTGTCGTAGAGTCGGATCCAACTCATAGCAACCCCTACTTGGGTTTCCGAGGTGGTATCACTACGGAAGTAATTCTAATTTGGGTTTCTGAATCCCACCTATGGTCTCCTCCACTTCCCAATGCTGTCTGCCACACCTTGGCAGTTACTTCGCATTTATTCCTCTCCCTCAGCAGTTTGATTTACCCACCTGTCCTTTTTGCATCGATTATTTCTTTCCCTGAAGCAAATCTTTTGTCTGACAACTTACCTGTGAGCAAAAATACACTCTGCCCTTCACACTGTATGCTCAGAAGCTGATTTGCTTCCAGCGAGGAAGAGAGAAGGTGTGTATGCCCTGGAGGAAAGATTTACCACAGTAGCCCAAAGCAAGGGGAATGGCGCTCAGGATGGGAGCAGAGGGGTCACACACTAGTTAATTAACAAACTCCATGGAGAGGCATGGTGGCCCGCTGCAACTGCTGGCCCCATGAGGACTCCTCAGCCCTCAGCCACCCTGCTTCCTGTCTCTTATCCTACTGGAGACACAATGGGGGAAAGGGACTGAAGGTATCTGGCACCCCAGAATTGAATGGAAACCTCTCAGTGTGGTGACCACTCACGCTGGCCTACTGTGCGCAGAAGATACTATCACTCCTCTGCCCCCTACCAGGGGCCACTAAAGGCTGAGAAGGGCAGGGCTTGTCCAAGATCACACAGTTGGGGGACCATGACCTCTTCTCCCTGGCTGAGTCCACGCCACCATCACCCCTAAAGCTGTGACCTCACTGTGTGATTCATCTGTTCTGGGGTGCTCTACCTACTGGTCTGCTGCGAGGGGAGCAGTGAAGTGGATCTGGAGAACTAGATGCCTAGTCTCCCAGCACAAGTCCCAGAAGTGGTTCCCAGAACTCCAGGCCCACTTTAGCCCCAGAGCTTCCACCTAACCCAGGAGCGAGGGAGGCGAGGAGGGCTGGAGTTGTTGGCAGGTGCGGGTGTCAGGACAGCTGAGACTCACACTCTGTGTGGAGCTGATCTTGATGGACTTCCGGGTAGCTGCCCTCTATCACCCTATGGCCAGACTGGAGAGACCTCAGCCCTGCCCAGCTGGTGGAAAAGCTGGTACCAGAGCTAGATGATTTCTGCTGCTTGCTTCAAAGCCTCTTGACTGTCCTGTCCACCTCAGAAAAGCCACCCTAGTGGATCTGAGGGGCTGACCTAATTTCCCATGCTGAACTGATTTCTCCAGAGGGCAGCCTCTTTCTCATCTGCCCTTCCTCCACCTGGGGTGTAGAACTGATAGCCACATCCCAGAGGATGAACTTCTCCACTTCAGCTACTCTTTTATTTGAAAACATCACGAGGCGTCCATGGGGTGCCTATCTCTGTTGGACTCTGAGGAGTGTCACAGAAGTGCTGGGAAGAACAACATATTCAAGTCCTGATTTGGCCACCAACTCCCTGTAGAACTCTGGGCAAGTCTCTCCCCATCTCTGTGTCTTAGCTTCCTCATCAATGAATTGAGAGGGGGTGAAACTGATGGGGTCTGAGGACCTCTTTTGTGTCTGAGGACATAAATTCTGAGGGCATGCCCTTAATAGTTTATATTCAGGTTGAAGAAAGGAGACTCAGGCACAGATAGTTATAATGCTGGGCTGTCAGTTCCTAGGGACTTAGAATAGGAAGCCCTGTCTGAGGCCTGATGTGTAGGAGTGCTTCTGGAAGGAAATGGGGTTTAAACTGAGGAATATGGAGGACTTGGGCATGTGGGAGAGCAATTCTGGTGAAGACAAGGTATCAGGAACCACAGATTATGCAGAGGGAACTTACCAAAACAACAACAATAAAAAAAAAAAAAAAATTGCCATTGAGTCAATTCCAACTCATAGTGAT